TTTCACAAAAAATAATTGAATATCAATTCAATAAAAATTTAATTAATTTTATTGTAATATCATCTCAAATCTCTTTATTTATTCTTATAAACACAATAGCAAATATGGTTTCATTTACTACGTGTAACAATCACGAAAACCTAAGACAACAATAGCGAAGTTAAGCTCCTACTCCTTTCACTTTACACTGTTTATCATTAAATTTCCGGAGTACTTTCTAAAATAAACAAAATTATTGAAATATTATATTATATTATATTAGGATACTCTACTAAAATTAAATCACATAATTTGACGTCGTCGTAACATTTATGGTAATATTTTTCTTTGTACTATAAGGCTGTGCCATGGGGCTTCTACAAACTTTTGACATACATCAAGGATAAATATAATAATCCTCCTCTGTACGTTACCGAAAATGGTTATGCTACGACTACGGGTCTGGAAGATAATGACCGGGTCGAGTACTACGTAACCTATCTTGATGCACTATTGGATGCTGTTGAAGAGGGATGTGATATTAGAGGTTACACTGCGTGGTCTCTGATGGACAACTTTGAATGGAGGGCGGGATACACGTAAGCTCGATTTTTTTAAGTGCTTTGTTTTTTGTTTTTGCAATCTCGGTGGCTCAGCGGTGGCCCACCGAACAATGGTTTTGTTCGGTAGGCGCTCGTTGAGGAGGTTCCGGGTTCGATACCCAGTAGAATCAATATGGGACATCAAGTTTCATTTGATTCTGGTCTGGGTGTTTTGAGTAGTACCCCGGAGTGATTTTCGTTGGGTACTGACATTTTAGGAAATTCTCTGGTTTAAATCCAGGTAATAGGTGTGATTATCTGGCACGATATGTTTTATGCTAAATAGCGCTTGGAACGCCTGGAACGTTTCATTTTTTTTTAATAGCACTTCGCACTAGGTAAACCTGTATCGCGGGTGCCATGGACACACACATAGACAACCACAAATTACACCCAAACTCACGCTCACTCACTCACTAATAATTCCGATGCGTTATACATATACAATACGTACATAGTATCTACATGTTCATTATATACATGTGCGTACATAGTTTAGCCTTAATGGGTAAAGAAATGTAAGCGTCGGAAAACCGCGAATACATCGAAATATTAGAGTATTTGCTCATTTGTGTGTGTGTGTGTGTGTAAAGTGACCACCTACAATGAAATATTTAGCGTAACTACCGACATTGTAGGTTAAAGTTATTATTATAGGTATTGATAAGTAAGCAGTGTAACTACAATGAAAGGATCTCCGAATTAGATTTTAGTTTTATTCAATGTACAATTATTCAATAAACACGTATATTATTATTGTACTCAACAAGAGTGACAAATTAGTAAACAAATAAGACAACGATGAACGCGAATTTACATTTATTTTATTATTTTAAGTTTTCTTTTTAACAGACAGAGATTCGGCCTGTACGAAGTAGACTTCGAGAGCCCGGAACGCACACGCACTCCACGTAAGTCTGCCTTTGTTATGAAAGAGATCGCGCGCACGCACAAGCTGGATCCCTACTACGAGCCGGATACCACAGTCATGACTATCGACAGACGTTGAAGACTATATATATCGTTTTACATTGCAAACGTAAAGCCCAAACAGGCATATTATATATAATGTTCCTAGTGATGATATAAATAACATACCACTTCATCCATTTCCTAATAAGCGTGTTTAATGATTAGTTAATAACGGTTACAAAGTTATGGTTTGAAAAAAAATATTTTAAAGAGAGAGGATCATATTGGTCTTTTAATTTTACCCTTCTCCTTAGCACTTTATCTGTACCTAATAACCTCTATCTAAATTGAGCTCCTTAGTCAACGGGGAGTCGCTGGCTCTCTGTGTATGTTCTACCGTCGTTATAATAGGGAGGGCACAGAGGAACTTTTGGAACTGGTGCCACCGTCTCGTTTCCACCATCCCACCTCCCGCCAAATGAGTAGCGCTCATGTCTACATCTTAAACGCCTAGCATTCTAAGACCACGCGGGCATCACGTTCGTTTCTTCATTAAGCCTGCAAGATGAATGATCATTCTCCTGAAATATTTCCTTTGCGCTATGACATGGGGTTCTTCAAAAAGCGTGTCCACAGTGCTCTCAAAGGCTGGCAGCTATAGGCAGCGCATCCGATGTTGCGGATGTTCGTGGATTCAAGCGGTTCGTTTGCTCGTTTGCTTCCTTCTTTACATAAAAAACCTAAGTACATGACTGAGATTAATGTGTACCTACAAAATGTCATATAATTTTATTATAATTTTACCTTAAAACCCTTAAAACCTGATTAGAGACCTGTGGCCTGTACAAGCAATACCTCTCGCAAACGGCGAAGAAAAACATCATGATGAAACCTACACCAGGAAATCAATATAAAACAGAATCATTATCTATAAACTAATACTAAGAGATCCAGTAACAAATCCAATCAGTCGGCCAGTCCCGGCGCTCCATCCCATGTAACGCCCGGGTGCAATCAATAACCTGGCGCCCTCTAGTAGGCACGCGATCTATGGTATGGTTACAGTTATATTTTCCCCAGTGATCGCAAATTTTGGTGAAAATAGTGCAATTATAAATGATGTTGAGAAGAACAAGTCGTGCGCCTCATGGTAAGCTACACTACTGTGCATAACAGTTTCATTGCCACTAAGAGCTTTAAATCGCAAAGACCTGAGGGAGAGGCACTGCTACAGCGCCCGTCACCCTGAGACTTAAGTTGACAAGTCCTATGTGCATGTAATTTCACCAGTACCCTTATCCTTCCAAACCGGAACACAGTGATGCTGACATTACTGCTTGGCGGCAGAAATAGGTAAGGTGGGCAGTACGTCTCTGGACAAACTCTTTCACAAGGAGCTCTACTGCTACTAAATGCTAGATTTGTCTTAACATAAATTAGAAATTATCAGAAATTCTTCGAGTGAGGTATGATGTGATTATAAAAAGAAACCGACCAAGTGGCAGTAGAAATAGCATACCGAAGATTTTGTACCTTACATGAAGTATGATGAAGGTTTAAAAATTATTTTATTTTAGATTTTTTGTCGAGATATAAATACCATATTAGTATAAAGATGTGATGTGCATGTGAATGACGCACTGTCAAATGCGATTTATTGCTCAAATTTTAATATAGTGTGATTCTATGATTTACATCGTGTAAACATGTGGATAAGAATTTAAAATATTATTTTGAACTCCTTTGATTTTGGTTATTTTATAATAATAATAATAATAACGTGCACACGCCCGTAACCCCACACTAGGGAAACCCAGTATCGTGGATGCCGTGGACAGACACATAGGCAATCACAAATTACACCTTAACTCACGAGAGAAATAAATGAAGGCTATATAAAAAAAGGCTATATAAAAATTTCTCCCGGCCCGGGAATCAAATCCGGGACATGTGTGCGTGGCAATGCAGTATGGTAACTGTTCGGCCACAGATGTAGTTACAAATTTGATAGGTGTAATTAGAGATGGTATGTACAAAAATAATATAATTAAGCCAGTTCCAGACTTGCGTGCAATTCGCATCGCTAACATGTGCATAATATTTTAGTTCGAACGGTCAACGGAAATGGACACTATAGCATCCTAAGTAGCAGTAGAGGTCCTCGTGAAAGACTTCGTCCAGGAAGTACTGCCAGCTTATCTATTTCTGCCGCCAAGCGGTAATGTGAGCATTAATGCATTCTGGTTTTGAAGGGTAAAGGTGCTTGTGAAATTACAGGCGCTTGTAAGTCATGTCTCTGGGTGACGGGCGCAGCGACAGTATCTCGCAGATATTTGAGATTTAAAAGTGGATGGTACAACTGTTATGGACACGCGTGTCAATTTATTCGTCCGGTCACTTGGTAATACAAAAAAAGGTTACTCTGAGCACCCTTTATCAGAAGAAATATCGACTCTATTTTGAAAAAAATGAGGGAAAGCTGTAGGACCTCAAGTTTCTGTAAATGTACCAACTCGTAGTTTAACAAATGAAATTGTTATTGAAAGTCAGTTATAGCTCTTATTATGGTCACGTGTTAATTATCATTGTCACTGAATGTGACCTGAACTATTATTAATTGCTTAATAACATTGAAATCGTCAGACACCGGCCTTTGTCCTTGATTAAAGCGAGTAAGATTGTTTTTGTTTTTAACTTTTGTTTTTACTTTTGAGTAAATGGAATTTGATTCCAGCAAATTTCGATGCATGGAGGGATCAGGGGGAGACCTTTTCCCAGCATTGGGATACATCAGGCTAATTGTAATTTTATCAAAAAACACTGGTTCTATGTACGCATGTTGAGAGCGGAATCCCTTTCGATTATACGAAGAAATGAAACATATAGCTAAGGACACGTTATATCACAAAAAACTGCTCTTCGTGCTTATCACGCTTATGTAGCCTCTAATTTACGATATGGACTGCTCTGGGGAAATGCTGCTGCAACATATATAATGCCACTATTTAAAACCCAGAAGAAATGTGTCAGCGCCATAGCAGAAACATGTCAGCACCATGTTTGGTGTGGGTCAGCGAGAGTGTTATGTACTCTCTGAAATTTCATTATAAGGTTTCCTTTTTACCATTTAGGTTCGAAACTCTTAAAAAATGCTTATGATAATTCATATCAGACTGATAAAAAGATTATCAGAAAAGATGAACTGCTATATATACGTTCGCAAGATTCGAACACTCGATATAAACAGGTGACACAGCAGTATGTTTCGCACGTTGGGGTTATTGTGAGTATACACTATTTTACATTAGGTATTGTCATATTTAGCGCAACTGGTAGCGTTTTGAAAGAAAATAAACATTGTGTGAATATTTTCATCATTGTACTTTTTGAATGTAATTCTTCGTTCTTACATTTTTTAAGCATGCTCAATCATCCACTTTTACCTATTACACAGATTATATATATATTATATCTCTAACGGCATATTAAAAGTCGTTATATATGGTTACGTAGTCACATATCTAAGTACTTATATAGTAGAAACAATTTCTTAATCTTTTTTTAACACTTAGTGTACTGGTGTCATGCCTCGCGCTGACGACGTCTAATTCATTTGGAAAACGACAGCAAGTGAGATATTTCCCTAATGGATTCCTGTTCGGAACCTCAACTGCTTCTTATCAAGTCGAAGGCGCTTGGGACGAAGATGGTATGTTTTTAAGAAGAATGAATTACTTTTACTAAGCACATGCTATTGATTTAATTAGGCTTTATTTTATTCACACACGCCTATGATATAGAATTAAGGTTTCTATACAAAAAAATCTTGTTTCCAATTGATAAAACGAACGCCCCATTAATTTACTAGTTTGGTGCAACAAAGGCGGACAACGAAAAAAAAAATTTTTCAAATGTTTCTCATTGTTTTAAAGTAATAATACCACCTGAATCTTTTAGCTAAATCATGGAATAAATGAATAATAAAGTATATAAGAGTCATATTATAAATATTAAAAAATATAAGGCTTTTATACTTTATTTTAAATTTTCTCGAATCTCACTTTTACATGATACGCCCTTGTGACACCCAATGCTTCAATTGGCACGGGACCCGAGCGATAATGTATATCTAGGCAGATGTTATTGAGTGTGTAATTGTTCCTTTATAGGTCGAACGCCAAGTATTTGGGATACTATAAGCCATGCGCGACCATGCTTAATTAGTGAATGCCATAATGGAGATGTCGCTGCTGATACTTACCATTTATACAAAAGAGACGTCGAAATGATGAGAGAACTTAACCTTGATTTCTACAGGCTCTCAATATCGTGGTCTAGATTACTACCAACAAGTTTCTCCGACAATATAAATGAAAAAGCTGTGGAATTCTATAGTAATTGGTTGGACGAAATTCGTAAATATAACATGGAACCCATGGTCACATTGTATCACTGGGATTTGCCGCAGAAACTGCAAGACATGGGAGGGTGGACCAATCCCCACATAGTCGACTGGTTTGTGGACTATGCGCGAATTGTCTTCGAACAATTCGGTGACCAAGTAAACATCTGGATTACTTTCAATGAGCCTCGTGAAATTTGCCATCAAGGTTACGGCTCTGGTGCAATGGCCCCGTTGCTTAAAATACCAGGCGTAGCAGAATATATGTGCGCGAAAAATTTATTATTAGCTCACGCCAAAACCTATCACATGTACAATAAGGAGTTCAGATCTTCGAAAAGAGGAACGATTGGTATTTCCTTAAGCGCTAGTTGGAATGAACCTGAATCTCAAGAACACGCCGAAGCCGCCGAAGACTCAGCAGCTTTTGAGGTAAAATTTAACATAGTTAGAAATGACTATATTGAACACTTATTTGTACGTTATATTTTATGTAATTTTACCTTTTAGTGGGGCATTTACGCCCACCCTATTTTCTCGGATACAGGAGATTATCCACAAGTATTAAAGGAAAAAGTAGCGGCTAAAAGCGCCGCCCAAGGTTATTCAAGATCCAGATTACACGAACTATCTCCAGAAGAAATAGAACTCATTAGAGGCACATCAGACTTTTTTGGACTGAATCATTATAGTACCAACATTATATATAGAAATGAATCTGTTTATACCATGCATGAAATTCCCTCCATATATGATGATCAAGAAACTGCAGCTTACAAACTTGCTGAATGGAAATCTAGTGCGGCAGACTGGTTAAAGGTACCGATACACTTTTTGAATTATTTTTTTTTTTCATTTATTCATAAGATCACAGGCCACGTTTATTGAGTGGATTTCGAGAACTATTTAACTTAGGCTCTTAAAAACTGTATTTTCGCTTCTTGTACAGTGTAACGACTGATTTTTGTCATAGTCCTTGAAATTTTTTTTAACGCACACACTCATAGCTCCGCATTAACGATGTATCGCAGGTGCAAGTTGTACTCAAACTCACGAGGAAAATACATGTAAGCTATACAAATATTTCTCCCGGCCCGGGAATCGAACCTCTGCGTGACAGTCCGGCATGGTAACCGTCTGGCCACGGAGACAGTTTATTTGGAAGTGAAGTAAACTAATTAATAAAGCATTTAAGTCTAAAAGATCGTCTGGTATCTATTTATTTATTCGTAAAGGATGTAATAGCAAAATTGCACGTACCTGTACCTTCCACATTTCGCCGTGAATCATGGTGTGCACTTCATTATTCGTCATTGATTGCACATTAAACCAATCACTGTAGTAACTCAAAATTGTGGAATTGAGAAAACACTTGAAAATTTAAAAGAATACTGAAAGGATCATATTATTCGTAACAAGATTCTTGCGAATAATGTGATTGTTTTTATATGTACATAACATTTAGTATTTATAAACGAGAATATAAATATTGATTGGTTTCATTTAGAAATTCACAACTTTGAGTTACGACAATTTGGTGTATTTTAAGACTCGACTGGTATGAAACAAAAGTTTTTTTTGTTTTTGTGTTTGTTTGAAACATTTTACTTTTTCCAATAAGGAAGTGCCATGGGGCTTCTACAAACTCTTGACATACATCAGAGAGAAATACAACAACCCTCCTGTCTATGTCACTGAAAATGGCTTTGCTACGACTGGGGGTCTGGAAGATAACGACCGGGTCGAGTACTACTTAAATTATCTTGATGCACTGTTGGACGCTGTTGAAGAGGGATCTGATATTAGAGGATACACTGCATGGTCTCTGATGGATAACTTTGAATGGAGAGCGGGATACACGTAAGTTTGATTTTTTTCATTATTTCATTTGTTCTACCTGCCTTGAATTCTGAAAAAAAAAACCAAGTATCAGAAAAACTTCGATAATCGACAGAATGCTGTATCTGTCACACGACCTCATTTTTAAATAGTCTATATTAGAATTTATAGAAATGGCCACTGTAATTGTGTGCTTAGTGTACATTTTGTATTCTAGCCGTTACATCCGTGTAACCTGAATAACGTTATAACGCTATCTGCTTATAAGTCGCTTTTTATATGAAAATTTATATAGAGCAAAATATAGGCACTTGGAACTGTTTTTCATAATATCTAGTGCCGGGACAAACAAGTCGTGCGCCTGATGGTAAGCTACACGCCAGTCCACAATAGTTGCAGTGCCAATCAGAGCTTTAAATCGCAAAGATCTGAGGCGCACTGCTGCTGCGCCCGTCACCCTGAGACATAAGTTGATAAGTTCCATGTAAGTGCATGTTATGACGAGTCGCTTACCACCAGGCGCACGACTTGTTCGTAATAAATCTATAGGGTGATTCGATAGTTGTTTTTAAAGGAAAAAGATACATATTTTGTTTCTATGTTACATTTAGGTATCCCTGTTGAGTGTCAGGAAAAATTAGATAAAACAATGATAGGACTTTAGTATGAGACTTTACATTTGTTAATTTAAATTTTATTTGTAACAGACAAAAATTCGGTTTGTATGAAGTAGACTTCGAGAGCCCGGAACGCACACGCACTCCGCGTAAATCAGCCTTTGTTATGAAAGAAATCGCGCGCACGCACAAATTGGATCCCTACTACGAGCCGGATACCACGGTCATGACTATTGACGAAGGACATTGAAGACTATGATATAATGTAAACATTGCATGCATTCTCTCAAACGGACATAATTAGGTATATTATTTTTACAAATACTCGTATTATAAAAACGTAAATAGTACAAAATTAATATACTACTTCGTAAAGTTCCTGATGATCAGTCAACAATGGTTACACAATTCAGTTTTAATAAATCTATGTTTATTATGGTTGTAATAAGTAAATAAGATTAAAAAGAGATTTTATTTGTTTATGAATTGGTTGCAAAATTAAATTAAAACAAATACAAATCTTATCCATCTTTTTAGTGCATATCCAAATCTATATCGCTTACGATTGAACGGTTCAAAGTTCAAAGGGTCAAGCTTGATGTGCTTGATGTGTCTTTTTTAACAGCAATAGTACAAATAGTACAAAAGTAATGGCAAGTTTTGTAGTACTAATAATTATGTGTGTTATTTTAGTTATATTTATCGAAGATAAAATATATCCTGTAGTATATCGTGGTCTTAGTTTTTAAGAATAGACATGTACTCAATTGTGACACGTGTGCCAATATAACTGCACGTAATTTCTATTAACATTACCTGTTATAACGACCCACGTGCCACAATTGAGTACGTGTCTGTTCATTATTGTTCATGTACATTTCTGAGTTGCAGTAGCAGTAAAAGCTCATTCTGAACATCAACAAACCAATATCAACAGAATCAGTAACAACAAAACCAATACCAATATATCCTGTATCAACCGCAATCAGCTAGATGATGAAATGATGAAAATATTATCACAATAGATTCACAGCTATATAAATGCACGTTTGAACATTGGAAATACTCTTGGGACAAAAACAATTCGCACAGTAATATGTTTCGAACGGTCCGGTTATTATGAGTACATAGAGTAATTATTTACTGTTGTTAAGCACAAGTTTTACTCTTTCTTTAGAGTAATGTCAACAACATGTTGTTTAATTTGATAAACTTAGCAGATCACCACTATTATTAAAAAAAAAATGGATAGAAGTACAGTATGTGAACAACAAATGCATTTTTGCTAATTGGAGTTTTACTATATACTCTACAACATTCACTTTTACATATTGCACTTTACACATACATACATTACATATTCAACTATCTTTTTACGCGTAGAGCTCTGTTGTCATTCTTCGCTCTGACATTTTCTAATTCAGCTCAAAAGTGACAGGAAGTGAGACAGTTCCCTAACAGCTTCCAGAAGCTTGATTTTGATTCAAATAGGAATCTATCCGATCGGGTAGTCTCCTTCCTATTCCTACTATATCTTTCTAATTTGTGAATGAAATCAACTATTGTTCCGATTAGAAATGTTAAAAGCTTCCGATCGGCCAGTTGTGAATCGCAATTATACTCCTCGACTAGGAAAGGACACAGTTTCCGATCGGGAGAGGCAATCAAAATCAAGCTGCTGTTCGGAACTTTCATCAACGAACCTCTTGAAGTATGTCATCACGGTTACGGAGTTCAAGAACTTTCGAGGTAAAATTTAATAATAGTGGTAATATATTAAAACTAATTACTTCCTATTTTTATACGAGTGTTTCCCTTTTGAGTGGGGCATCTACATCCACCATATCTTTTCGGAAAGTGTGTGTGTGTGTGTGTGTGTGTGTGTGTGTGTGTGTGTGTGTGTGTGTGTGTGTGTGTGTGTTTGTGTGTGTGTGTGCGTGTTGGCGTGCGTGTATTTGTTTGACAAAACAAATATACGCGATTAAATTAAAATATTAAAGAAAAAATTAAATCCGGAAAAATTGTTTCATTTCCTATGTGAAACAACCGCGAAAACCTAAGAACTCGATTGCCATGACCTTAACAAAAATAATAATAACTACAACAACTATGTGCCACACAACCACCCTAATTACTTAGTCTCAAATTAGGATTTTACTGTACTATGAGTACCAAAGCAACGAATTCAATTTCGTAACCGTCATCCAGAACTCCTAGAAACAATTTAGAACGTCTTATTTCGTAATACGGACAATGGCACATGAGACTAGACATTTTTGTTCGAAAATCGCCTTCAGTGCAACGGAACAAGATACGTCAACGTGTAGGTTGATGTGCTGGAGTGTGTACATTCGAAATTTTGACTTTCTGTGAATCGGACGATCATATCTAGTGCCCACGTTGCTAACTATTACCCCCACCAGGTTGTAAATAACAAAAAATAATAATAAAAATACTAAAAATCCCCCATGTTGTTTGGATGACCTCAGACAAAACTATATATTATATAAAAATGGATACCTGTGCTCGTATCGTGACCGATAGTAGCAACACCATTATCATCTGAAATTTGTTCCTCGCCACCACTCTTCAAATAGTTTGCCTTTTAATCTTCATACATCAAGAGATGGCACAAACAAGTTCAAGTGGCTTATGAAACATATTTCCGATAACATACAATACATTAGTACAAAAATGTAACTACTCTCTTTTTTAGTGTTCGAGTAGGTTACTTAAGAAAATTATGAATTTGTATGAGAACGATCGGTTGTTTCGAAAGTAAATAAGAGATTTATTCACATCATGACTACTGAACGACGATTTGGATGAAAGCTTAAAAAATAAAAATACGCTTTGCTGTATTGCAGACTATAAATAAGTGACGCAACTTTTCGAATGCAATTTTCAGAAGCTCGACAACGAAGTTATAAAAACAATATATAGATTTATCTTATGACCTACAGAAATGTATTATCGCAAGAAATATAGGCTGTCGTTAGAAAAAAATGAGCGAAAATTGTAGGAGTCAGGCAGGCAGGCAGGTAGATGTACTCGTAGTATAACAAATACAATTGTTATTGAAAAGTCAGTCACAGCTCTTCTTGAGTACGAGTACTTGAGTACATTCAGTCATAGCACTGAATGTACTCTACATTAATTGCTTAATAACTTTGAAATAATCAGCAATCAGAACTCTATTTAAGAGAGCAAGATTACAATTTTTATTATTATACCAATATTATAGTAACGAGATGAATAAGTTGTGCGCCTGATGATAAACGAACTATGACGCTTATCCATGACAGTGCAGTGTCACTCAGAGTTTTAAATCGCAAAGATCTGAGGGGTACTATCGTTGCTCTCGACACTCTGGGACTGGTGCTGTCCAATGCAAGACCAAGACGAGACTAATCCCAATCTAGGGCTTGATCTCGCGTCGGTACACCTGGTCTTAGTATTGGTCTTGGCATTGCACACTCTACTTGCACACGCAACTCTTTCAATTATCTATTGCTACTTATTAAATTCTGACTACAATCTTCGTTACTCATGTCAAATGTTATTACTTGCTCGACTCGCAGCGAAGCTTAATTGCAAATAAACAAATCTCAAATAAATCTCCTATTCATAAGTAGAGACAAGTGCCGAAAAGTGGGTAAAGAAAGTTTCAGCTTCTTTGATAAAAATAATGATTCGTTGGAAGATTAAAAACTGAAGAGACAACTTGATTACAATTTTATACAAGCTATTGTATGCCTACTTTACTAAAATGTACATAAATAATATGTGTATCGTGTGCCTCTTTTGATTGAATTAATGTACGTTGGTACGGTAAGCAGTATTTATGTAGTACGTAGAGTACTGCAGAAATTGGTATACAGGATGTAACGAATATGCGAAATAATACCTACTTGACCTAACGCCTGCACCTTGGACTGTTTGTCGTGTTCGTTGCGGACATTAACGCATGATCAAGCTAAACGCATCTATTCCACACGAAGCGCTGCAGAGACTTTTATGAGTGGTGTTTTTACTTTTATTTAAATTAATTATTCTTTGTTGCGATTTTGGAAACTTGGGTTTTTGAAAACGAGGCACCTATCCCACTGCGGCATCTATCCTGGTTTTACTCTAGTAATAATTTGTAAGATAATCAGTGGTGATAAACAGACTCTGAAATTTGATTACAGGTATTAGGGTTCCTTTTTAACCGACTCCAAAAAAGGAGGAGGTGTAGGTTTTATTTTTTTAATTTTTTTTAATGTACGTATGTTACGCGATAACTCCGGTATGTGTGAACCGATTTTCATGGTTCTTTTTTTGTTGGAAAGAGGGTACCTCCATAGTGGTCGTATTTCATTTTGAAGAAAATCATCCACCTCTAAGGGTGGCTGATCACGCATGAACATTCATTTTTATAATATAGCGCCTAAATTTTACTTAAGGAGCAATTATTTTAATAGTTGGTTTTGCTTTTCTCCAATTCAAGACTTTTTTCTCTCTCAATATACTTTGAGTAATGAGAACCGATTTTTATTATCTTCTGTGTCAAGTCCTGTGTATTGGCGAACTAGGGGCTATTTCAATAAAAGTTGGCAAATAGATGTAATTCCACGTACTTTAGAGATCGGTTTTTTTAGTACTGAGATTATTACCATTTAAGTTCAAAGTCGTGAAAGAAAAATGTTTTATCAGACTGATAAAAAATTATCAAAAAAGATGACCTGCTATAAATACGTACGTAAGATTCGAACACTAGATATAAACAGGTGACACGGCAGTATGTTTCGAACGTTGGGGTTACTGTGAGTATATAATATTTTATATTATGTATTGTTATATTTAGCTCTGGAACCTTTTTAAAAAAAGTTAAAAAGGTAGTGCTTATAAGTATATCATATTAACGTAATGGGCCCTCGCCTGTAAAAAAAATTTCTTATAATCATATGATTCCATCGACGAATACGTCACGGCATTAAAGTTACTCAGTCGGTTGTGTGAATTCGAGAACCTTGGAGAAGGTCTCATCTGTGGCAGAATTGTGTATGGTGTCAACGACAGTAAAGCCCGCTATCGGTTGCGCTGGTGGACGCAGTGAGTGGCAGTGTATGCGATGCCCGTGCGCACCAGCCAGTTGCGGGATGTATTGTCATAATTTAGCTCAATTGGTACCGTTTTTGAAAAAAAATCAAAGTAGTATTATCTTAGGTAAATGTAATAGGCCCACGACTATAAAAAAAAATTGCTGTTCCATAATAAACTACTTCGACACACAGTCGACAACTAATAAATATTATTATTATTATTATTATTCATTGACTTACTAAGTCAATGTTATTATTATTATTATTATTATTATTATTATTATTATTATTATTATTATTATTATTATTATTATTATTATTATTATTATTTTCCAATTCTTAAATTTGTATTCCAAGGTTGCCTGAAAGAAATTGCTCCTTAGATATATGCATTAGCTTATTGTTTGGTACTTAGGTTACTGTACTGTGTTGTTATAATTTTACAATGTGCAATAAAGGTTTAAAGGTTTTTATTATTTATTTAATTTTATTTATTTCATTCTTTAGTTTTTCAAATATGCAATCAATTTTATCTCATAGGAACACATTTTTGTCTCTATCGGCACATGAAAAGTGGTAAATGTTTAAACAGTCACGTATCTACGTAAAGAATAGAAGAATTTCACCGTCTTTCTTTTTATCGCTTAGTGTACTGGTGACATTCCTCACGCAGACGACGTCTGATTCACTTGAAAAACGGCAGCAAGTGAGGTATTTCCCTAATGGATTCCTGTTCGGAAGCTCAACTGCTTCTTATCAAGTTGAAGGCGCTTGGAACGAAGATGGTATGTTGTGAAGAAGAATGAATTATGTCCATTGAGCACATACACTTGCTTACTTAATGAAACTTTATTTGATTCACACACGCCTAGACTTAAGTCGAGACGCCTAAGAGTTAAGATTTCTACCTATACAGAAAAATCTTAACTCCAATTGGCACGGGACCCGAGCGATAAGGTATATGTAGACCGGTGTTGGGCGTTAATCAATTAAATTTCAATCAGAAATTCAATCAGATTAAAAAATCAATTCAATCGGTTTTCTCAATTCATTCAATTTGGTTGGGGGGCCGGTTGAGCGTCCGTCTGGGGGGCCGGTTGGGGGGCCGGTTGGGGGGCCGGTTGGGGGGCCGGTTGGGGCGGACAGGTGTGAGTGACCCATCTCCTAACCCACCCCCTAACCCACCCCCTAACCCACCCCCTAACCCACCTCCTAACCCAACCCCTAACCCAACCCCTAACCCACCTACTAAACACAACCCACCCGCTCACACGCTGACCCACCCGCGGACCTAATCCACCCTAACCCACCCCCTAATCCACCCCCTGACTCACCCCCTAACCCACCTCCTAACCTACCCCTAACTTACCCCTGACCCCCCAACCCACGCCCTAACCCACACACATTCTATCCCCTAACCCACCCCTTACCCACACTCTAACCCACCTCCAGACTCACGCCCTAACTCACCCCCTGAAAAACCCCTAGCCAGAACAATTAAATTTTGCCCAACACTGATGTAGACGTTAGTAGGTGTTATTGAGTGCATGTGTGTAATTTTTATTTACAGGTCGAACGCCAAGTATTTGGGATACTATAAGCCATGCCCGACCATGTTTGATTAGTGAATGCCATAATGGAGATGTCGCTGCTGATACTTACCATTTGTACAAAAGAGACGTCGAGATGATGAGAGAACTTAACCTTGATTTCTACAGGCTCTCAATATCGTGGTCTAGATTATTACCGACAAGTTTCCCCGACAACATAAATGAAAAGGCTGTGGAATTCTATAGGAATTGGTTGGACGAAATTCATAAATACAACATCGAACCCATGGTCACTTTGTATCACTGGGATTTGCCGCAGAAACTGCAAGACATGGGAGGATGGACCAATCCCTACATAATCGACTGGTTTGTGGACTATGCGAGGGTTGTCTTCGAACAATTCGGTGACCAAGTAAACATGTGGCTTACTTTCAATGAGCCTCGTGAAATTTGTCATCAAGGTTACGGATCTGGTACTATGGCCCCGTTGCTTAAAATACCAGGCGTAGCAGAATATATATGCGCGAAAAATTTATTATTAGCTCACGCCAAAACCTATCACATGTACGATAAGGAATTCAGGTCTTTGAAAAGAGGAACGATTGGTATCTCCTTCAGCGCTAGTTGTAATGAACCTGAATCTCAAGAACACGCTGAAGCCGCCGAAGACTCAGCAGCTTTTGAGGTAAAATTTAGCAGAAGTAGAAATAACTATATTGAACATGACTGTTATTTGTATGTTATTTATTTTATGTAGTTTCACTTTTTAGTGGGGTATTTACGCCCACCCTATCTTCTCGGAAACAGGAGATTATCCACAAGTGATAAAGGAAAAAGTAGCAGCTAAAAGCGCCGCCCAAGGTTTTCCAAGATCCAGGTTACCCGAGCTATCTCCAGAAGAAATAGATCTCATTAAAGGCACATCCGACTTTTTTGGACTGAATCATTATAGCACTAACTTTATATATAGGAATGAATCTGTCTATAATATGTATGACGCTCCGTCTCTATATGATGATCAAGATATCGCAATATACAAGCTTGCTGAATGGAAATCTAGTGCGGCTGACTGGTTAAAGGTACTGATATACTTCAAGCATTTTATCATAAGGGCAGGTTTATTCAGTGGATTTCGAGAACTATCATTAAATGAAACTTAGGATCTCGCAAAATGTTTTTAGTTATTTTCTTCGCTGCTTTTATTGACAGTGTAACGAAATTTGCAATAAGTGATTGTGCATCCGAGCAACCGATTTTTTTTCATAACCCTTGAAATTTTGTTTGTTTAGTTTTAGTTGCAGATTAAACTGGTTTAAAAGCATTTAAGTCTAAAAGATTGATGCTTCTTTATTTATTCATATAAAATGCAATAACAAAATTGCACGCATCTGCACCTACCACTTTCCGCTGTGAATCATCGGGTCCACTTCGTTCTCGTAATATTAAATTAAACAAAATTAGTTGATCGCGTATACAAATCGCACATGAAAGCAATTAAGTAGAGTATATGAAGCCAAAAACAGTATAATACAATTTGAAAATTAAAAAAATACTTAATGGATCTTATTGCGTATAATGTGATTATTTTTATTTATACGTAATATTTAGTTATCCATTTATAAACGAGAATATAAATATTCATTCATTCATTCAGTAATTCACGCTTTGGGTTACGACAGTTTTTGGTTTCATATACTCTACTTAAGACTCGACTAGTATGAACCAAAAGTTTTATTAAGTTTTGTTTCGTTTCACAAATTACCGAAACATTTTGGTTTCTCCAATAAGGAAGTGCCATGGGGATTCTACAAACTGTTGACATACATCAGGGAGAAATACAACAACCCTCCTGTCTACGTCACTGAGAATGGTTTTACTACGACTGGGGGTATGGAAGATAATGACCGGATCGAATACTTCTTAAACTATCTTGATGCACTATTAGACGCTCTTGAAGAGGGATCTGACATTAGAGGTTACGCTGCATGGTCTCTGATGGACAATTTTGAATGGTTGAAGGGATACACGTAAGCTTGACATTTTTTAAGTACTTTATCGCCGCCTTTGAGTGAAAACCTCTCATACGCGTTTTCACATAGTTTGTTTTTAAGAAACACTTATAAGCTTCTTGATCAAATATATTGTTAAAGTAATGTAGTATCTGAAAGAGAGATAATTTCATTTATTAAAATTCTAACTACAAACATTATTGCGTTTACTATATTTTACACCACATTTTTATCTTCGTCTTGAAAAATTACATAGAAATCACATACGAGGTTTTTCACTCTAAGACGACGTTATGTCTTTATGTTTTATTGATAATCATGATGCCTCACCGGTTTTCATTGTGGACACTGGATGAGAATGTCCCGAGTTCGAGTATCTTGATGCGCTACTGGACGCTGTTGAAGAGGGCTCTGATATTAAAGAATACTGCATGCTCTGATGGATAACTTTGAATGGAGAGCGGGATATACGTAAATTAGTTTTTTTAACTATTTAATCGGTTCTAAATTTTTATTGAATTGATATTCAATTGTTTTTTGTGAAATTACTCCACTAGTTTATTATAATTATTATATATATATAATATATTATATATATTTTGTTTGTTACAGGCATAAATTTGGCTTGTATGCAGTAGACTTTGAGAGCCCGGAGCGCACACGCACTCCGCGTAAGTCAGCGTTTATTTTAAAAGAGATCGCGCGCACGCACAAGTTGAATCCCAACTACGAGCCAGATACCACAGCCATGACTATATCGACGAAGGACATTCAAGACTATGATAGCTGTATACATTGTAAACGTTGCATGCAGTTCCTTCAACCTGGCATAATTGTGTTATTTGTAGAAGTTGATCAAACGTAAATAGTGTTATGATAGTCTATTATGCATGTGAGGCTATACATAAATAAATAAATCTTAGCGAACGTGGCGTTTCATTACAATATGGTGACAGCTTTTGGATCAAATAAAATATAATAAACTGTTACTAAGTGCGTAAATCGACGAGAAAATCATTAAAAATAAAATAAATTTAAGAACAAAAATTGACCGACGTAATTTTGTTTAGAAGTTGAATATCGGTCAGTTCAGATCAAGATATTTTCAAGTTTTTGGAGTTTTATCAGAATGATCCTGTCATTTGGAACTCCAAATACCGTCTCCTATGTTAATCTTACCTTGCTAATTTGCCTACACTTGCGTTGGCCTGGGGTCTTACTATGAACTCTTATTACAGTTCAGTATAGGTTCGTAACGACAAAAAAGCGTTGTGAGATAGTGCTACACTTTATGTAGTGCTACACTTTATGTAGCACTATCTCACAACGATTCATTTTAGATCCCAAACTGAATAGTATAAGAGTTCATGGTAGGGCCCCTGGGCTCGGCCAACATGTAATGCGGGCTTTGTAGCATGAGCTGTCGTGCTAGGTGGGTAAGGTGCTATGGGTGCATTACGAAAGGGCATTTTAAAAATACATACAATGTATCGACCACGGAAGAAAGTATTGTCAGTATTGTCAGAAAGTATATGTGAAGTGATAATCTTTATGTAGCTAATTTGAGACCACGAAGCAAATTGATTGGTTCTTTTACAAATAAAGAAATTGTTAGCTCGAGTGCACACAATATGGCAATAAAAGTATGTAACATAATCTCAGTACAGAGTACTAAAAAACCGACCTCAAAAGTACGTGGAATTATGTCTATTTGCCAAGTTTTATTGAAATATCCTCTAGTTCGCCCCTACACAGGAGATAATAAAAATCGGTTCTCACTACTCAAAGTATATTGAGAGAAAAACGCCTTGAATTGGAGAATAGTAAAACTGTGGCGGCTTTAGACGCCGCCTATTATCACCGGCTGGCTGTGGCAGTATCTTTTTTTTATATTAATTTGTAATGTAATTGTAATTTGTTTTACTTCATCTTCTTCGCTGTATTTAGAAATTTTAATAAACTTATTTTCTTTAACTTTTATCACGACTTTTCATGCAAATGTTCGAGGCCGCCGAGAAATTACGTCGGGGTCACCAATTTGCGGAATTTATTGCTCCCCTAACAAACAATAAAACGGCCTCGTGAACTCTGTGAATGGCGATATAATTATTATGATTCGTGGTATCACAAAATCTTTGTATCAAACCCAGCAAACAATTTGCAATCGCTGCATGACAATATATGTAAATAAAAATCTGTCAAACATTTACGGCCACTCTCCTTGGCGACTCTCGTCCAAAGAGACTGCCACAGCCAGCCGGTGATAATAGGCGGCGTCTAAAGCCGCCACAAAACCAACCACTAAAATAATTGCTCCTTAAGTAAAATTTAGGCGCTATTTATAAAAATGAATCTTCATGCTTGAGCCACCCTTAGAGGTGAATTACTTTCTTCAAAATGACATGGGACCACAATGGAGGTAACCTTTTTCTAACAAAAAAAGAATCATGAAAATCGGTTCCCAAACATCGGAATTATCACGTAACATATATACAAAAAAAAACATACAGTCGAATTGAGAACCTCCTCCTTTTTTTGAAGTCAGTTAAAAATATCTCTTAGAATAAGAAACATTGAAAATAATTACATGTCCGCAAATGCTCTGAAAAGTTACGTGCTCTCGAACTGTTTCTATGACTTAAAGGAGTATTTCGATAGTAAAAGCATATGATATTATGTATTTAGTATAGTAAGTTAAGTTGACATAAATCTATGTGTACCTATTAGTATCTATTAATATTAGTATAGTGAGATAAGTTAATTGCAGTGTCCTTACAGGGTTTATGTTGGAATGTAACAATAGCTTTAAGACCTTTTGTACCACCAAATGATATGATTATGATTATTTATGTGGTCGTGGTATCGACGGTAGTTTATGCATATCAAAATGTACCAAATACTAGAAAGCGAGAACTACGAACGTTGTGATGGATTCTACTATCAATTGATCGTAATTTTCATAATTCAATTATTTCAATTATTTTTAATTTAATTTTTTTTTAATTAGCTTTTTTTTATTTGGTTTAATAATACTATTTATATTCTTTTAAGCTTGACATGATTGATCGATACAAATGGAAATAGTAAATTAATAATAGTAGTGTAATAATAATTTCACTAAAAAGAGACCTTACGCGAAAAAACATAAAACTTAAACAAATAAACAAAAAAAATCTAAATATAAATTCTTTGAGTTAATTGTATTAATCTACCTTTGTCATTGTTCATTAACAAAGTAGATCTAACTATTAAGAGGGAGCAGAGGAAAAATTCCTAATGTTCAATTTGATTTTAGAGGGGTATATCCACTTTAAAGTTAAAAATAAAATATTGTATGAGTAACTACACGATATATTCAAGCATAGACATTAATCAGAAACATAAAACAATAAAGTTTCCTCGATAGATAAAAATCACGAAATAACCTGTAATTTTCACATTTCGATTTATCCTCGAAATGTTACAGGTTATTAGGACAAAAATTAGATAATTAATTATATTTATGCATGATCGACAACTGTCACTACGGATTTTTTTAAATCCCTTTAGTTTCAGAGTTATTCCGCTAAAACGAATTTGGTACTTTTAATGCGCAAAATTCAACATCTCCTGTGAACTTCGGGCATATATTTGATTCACAAATTTGGGCGGAGCCAGCGTCAAAACTTTTTTGGCATGAGCTCTTAATTAATAAATTAACACGTTAATGAAGTTAACGTATTGAATTCAATACATTTATTGACTCAACCTGTATAAGGAAAACTAACACATGCCCAAGAATTAGTTCTTGTGTTGAATCCACTAGCTTCTTAGTTAAGTAGTTAAGGCTGGAACAAGTGCTAGATGACGAATTAGGGTCCTTTTAAATTAAATTCCTGATAATAATAATAGTCCAATAATCACAAAAAAATATGATTGCTAGTAGTCATTAAATAATTGAATATATTTAGCAAAACTACAATTTATTAAGCTCTTCTTACGAAATAAAATAAATTTTACAGTTACGTCCTTCAAATTGAATAAAAAGCCATTTCTCTTTACATGCAAACGTTAAAATTTATAAACATGTTGTTTATAAAATTTACACGAAAAAAATAGATAATTTATTTTCATACAGAATGTGTTGGTCACTTTTTTAACTTATATAGTTCATAGGTTAAGTGTTATTATTAAACGAGTGGACTGTGTGTATGTTTCTGAGCGGGTTTATGCCACAAAAAGTTGCTGTTTTTAATTAATTTCACTTGTGTTTGTGTTAAATATATATATATATATATATATCAAAATGTACCAAATACTAGAAAGCGAGAACTACGAACGTTGTGATGGATTCTACTATCAATTGATCGTAATTTTCATAATTCAATTATTTCAATTATTTTTAATTTAATTTATATATATTAAATATATAATACAATTTAGTTAATAAAGTACCTATTTTAATGTATATTTATTTAATCTCGCGCAAAATACGTGTCGTTACACTGTACTGTGTACTTCTAATTGTTGAAATTTCCATCAATTAAAAACAAATTATATTTATATATATTGGTCGTAATCAGTTTTATTTTTTTTATTATTAATCTAAGTGGTGTTTATTTACGTATTGTATAAAACAAATTGAATACATAATACATAAAAGTTATGCTTTCAATGACGCATAATTAATTAGTAAATATTGACGTTTGTTTAATGCATTTAAAATATAGCGAATAAAAGTATTTGTTTTAATTTTACTACTCTTTTCTACTTCTCCTTTATAGTTGAAAATAGTAATATTCGTTGTTAATTCATAGGATGTAACGATCGAATCATTGCACGATTTACCTAATACTTTCACTATTCATGCTATTACGATTTTTACCCTAAAATATTACGTAATGTTTATTTTTACGGTGGTTTATTCTCAAATGTCTCTGAGGGAAAACAACGTAGGTATAGATTGCATAAAAACACTCATGACTCTTCTGTATTCTGATTTACAACTTATCTTTATTTGACTGTGTGAGTACAAGCGAGTGGTCGATAGATGGCGTATGAAATTGTTACTATACTGCTTAGAGGTCAAATCGTCAAAGTCATTCGCGACTGTTCGAGCCTTAAGGCCCATTTAGATGGAGAGAGTTTCTCGTCTCGAAGATACGATTATTGAAAGAATATAAAAAACTTTCCTCGTCTAAACATTTGCGATTATCGACCGTCCACGTGAGCGATAATCGCCTCGCCTTTCAATATTGAACGTCTCCGTGTAAACAGAACTCGAAAGCAAAAATCGTATTTCGAGTTTCTGTGCCAGCCATTTCTACCACGAGTGCAGTGCGCGAGGGTGTTTTGATTATCTCTGCTTTTCTAAGACAAGAATAAATGGAACGAGAACGAAAAAATAATTTGTATTAAGAAATGTTTTAAAAAGTTTGAAAAAAAGAAAAAAATGTATATTTCTCTACAATGCAATGAACTTAATATTATCAGCAGTTCCAAATTTGAATGATTCTTGCGTCATTTCGATATGTCCATAGTCAATACCGCAATAATCACTGAACTCGTATGGCGATTCTCGCACTCAAAACGATTGGAACCGATTTGTACGATAATCGTATGAACTTGAAGAAATGTCATACGAGATCGTGTTTAGACAAGTCGAAAATTCGTAAGCAAGAATCTCCTTAATACATATTTCTCTGTGTAAACAGTCGAGGAGGCGATTAAGTTGCTTGCGAATCTCGTCTGACATAATCGTAGGCGTGATTTCAGTTCTTGCCAGAATGTAAACATTAAGATACGATAATCTTATGGCGATTATTGCTTACGATAATCGCCTACGAGTTTTCGTCATGAAGCGTGTGAGAAACTCTCTCCATCTAAATGGGCCTTTAAGCTAATTTGTAATCTGTTTGTATAATAAAATAAATAAATAA